GTGGCCCACGGGCCGTGGTTTGAGGACGCCTGTTTTAGACCATTGCTCTCCAAGAGAAATTTCTGCAGCGATGGAACTGTTCTGTATCTATGCTCTCCAATATGGTAACCACTGGCCACATGTGGTTACTGAGCACTTGAAATGTGGCCAGACAGCTAAGAAACTGGCTTGTTGATTCTATTTAATTTTAATGAATTTAGATTTAAATTTAAATAACCACAGGTGCCTGCCTAGTGCTGCTATATTGAACAGCACAGGTTTAGATTGTTACTGTTAATAGAACCCAAGCTTAAGTAAAAATCATGACTATAAATAACATATGCAATGATTCTGATGCAACGAAGTCAAGAAAAAAATGAATTGTATGCAAGATATAGCAATTAATAAATTATGCATGTCTTTCTTCTATTACTCATCCAAGCATCGCTGGCCCAGCAACGAATGCTAAGACGTGCATTAATAACAAAATCAGTCATCTTTGATACTGGTCAGTCTTCAATCATGTAGCAGCCACTGTTTGGAGAGTGTTCAATTTTGTCACTATAGAAATATATTTGTCACAAAGGCACACAGCACCTCGCTCATTGAAAAGCTTTTCAGCTTGATTTTTAACTTCAGATAATCAGACACATGGTATGTGGGCTTCTGCTGCACACTCGCTCCTGCCCTGCAAATGTCGGGGGTGACCAGTCAGTGAATGGATGGAGAAGGCCCACCCACAGATGGCCTGTCCTAAGAGCCCTGCCAGCCCCTGCAAGGGCGTGGGCAGCGCAGGGAACTCTGGATTCCAATCCCTGTGTCCCGTGGGGAGTAAATCATCACATGAGATCCTGCGTTGGAGCACTTGCTGTGAAACCGTCGGTTATTAGGGTTATAATTCTCCCCACAGCTGGCCCTGGCATTATTAACAGGGGAGGCAGAAGAGAAGACATTGAGACCAACCTGAGTGTGAAGCCCTCCACGTGCTGAGATCTGGGTGAATCAAACAGGGGTCAGAAACGCACCTCTTCCCAGGACTGCGGGAAGGATGAGAGCAGTCGGTGTCGGGAAGTGTTTGGCCCCAGGCCTGGCGCGAGGTCAGACCTCATCCCCTCCACCCCAGGCAGCCCTGCGAGGGACCAGCCCACAGTCACCCAGCAGCACAGACGTGGGTGAAACGCACTTCTGCGCCCCCCTTCCCCACGCACTCGCAGAAACCTGCCGAAGCTGGACAGACCCTTGCCAAGATTAAAGGACTGCTCAGACAGCCCCACAGGTCTTGAGAAACTTGCTTTTTACAAACTTTCTTAAATCCTCTCTGCAAAGACAGAATGTAAATCACGATAACTATGACATCAATAGCCACCACCTTCAAGCACGTAGGTGTATGCCAGGTGCTATGATAGATGCTTCACATCTATTATCTTAATCATCTTAGAAACAAAACATGTTCTTATAGAACTCAAGACCTTGAAGAATAGTGGTGTCCTAGCTGGAGTATGACTGGTTCTAAGTGGCTTCAAAGGGACATTTAGGTAGCAAGATGGGGAACCAAATCCATACAGGGCCAGCCAGGGCCACCATGGGCCTTACCCCGTCCTCAGCAAGGGCAGAATTAAAGCACAAGCTTCAAGCTCCTCCCAAAGGTCCCAAAGTGGGACAAGCTGGAACCTGACTTTCGTCTGTGTGGCTTCAGGAGAAACTCCAAGCCCTGGACAAGAATTTCGCCCACCATGGGGGCCATTCTCAGTGGGGGCCACCTAACTTGGTCATTGCCAACCAGCCAGAGCATGGACATTACATGAACTTGTGCACCACAGGACTTGGCCAATGCCCAGAACTGACAGCGGGCCTCGAATGTTTCTGCACAGCAAATTCTGCTGCACACTGGTGCCCTGCTGCAGAGATGTCCCCAGCAGCGTTATTTACAGAAGTAGAAGCCAGGGAACAACCTAAGTGTGCAAAAGTGGGAAATAAATAAAGCAGGCTACGACAAGGAGATGGACTGCGAAGCATACATTCAGCTGAGCTTGCAAATAATTATTGAAGATCAGGGAAACAGGATTGCAGCAGGTCAGATTTTTAAAATTAGGATACGATGCTGTATATGGAGTATCAGCTATTTTTAAAATGCATAGAAAAACACCTGGGATAAAACACACCAAAGTGTTAACAGTGATGGGATGCTGGGGTCACTGCTGCTCCCATTCTTATACCCACTTTGCATTATTTAAATCATTTTCTCCAAGGAGGATGTGTTGCAGTTATAACCATAAAGTTGCTTTATGTCCAGTGTCACACAGCCAGTACCCATTCAACCGATTTTGACTGGTACCAACTGGGATGCCCAGTGCTGTTCTGGGCATGGATGGGGGCAGGGGAGCAACAACGAACAGACAGCTGGATACACTTGTCCCCCTTGCAGTTGGACGTGGCCATGTGAGTAGGTCTCGCCCATGGAAGTGTGCAGTGTGGGACCTTCCAGGGCACAAAAATCCTGCTTGTTTTTCCTCCCAAGTCAAGAACTAGAACATTGCCAGGGTGCAAAAGCACCCTGTGTGCCCTCCCTGATGTCAATCCCTTTCCTCCCTCTCTTAGAAATAACCCTGACCGGCTTTTTCCACACTTTCCTGTGCATTCCTCAACAATAGAGTGGCTTTGCCTGTTCCCGAGTGTTGTTATGCTTGGATTCATACTCTCTTTTGTGTTTTGCGATCACTCAACGTGTCTGTGAAATTTATCCATGTTCTTGCCTGGAGCTGGAATTCGCTTCCATTGCTGGGTACTACTCCGTTGTATGAATACACAGCACATCTGTTCTACCCATGACGGACATCTGGGACATCCCGGGATCTTGCCTACCATGAACAATGCTGCTGAGAAGAGTCCTGCCCTGGTACATGTGGGGATGACTCCAGAAAAGAATGGCCATGTCCTAGGATGTGCACATGTGCAACTTTACAAGAAAATTCCTGTCTTCCAAAGTAGTGATAATAGTATTGTTAGACTTCTTACATGCTGAACATTCAAATGGTATCTCGTTGCACATTCCCTTGATCACCGCTGAGAGTGAGCCACTGTTACCCGCTTATTGCCCATTTGTGTTCTCTCTTCCAAGAAGTGTCCCTGTGTGTCTTTTACATTTTCTATTGGGTTATTTGTCATTTTCGTATTGTTCGCTATATATTTTGGATGTTCATCATTTGTTGGTTAAATGCGTTACAAATATGTCCTTTAAGTTTGTGGCTTGTCTTCTACTTCTTGACATTTTTTGATGAATAGAAACTCTTAATTTTTAATGTAGTCTAGTTTATCAATCGTATCCTTTACGGTTTGTGTTTCATGTACCTTCAGAAATCTTTACTTACCCTGAAGTCCACAAGTTATTCTTTTATATATTCTAAAAGTTTTCAAGTTTTTATTTATTTCAATGTTAAACCTTTAATCCATTTAGAAATGTTCTTTCTATATGGCATGAGGTAGGGGTCTGGTTTTATTGCTGCCATCTGGATAACCAATTGTCTCAATCCCATTTATTCAATAGACTATCCTTGTCTAGTTTGATCAACAATGCCACCTTTGTTAAAAATAAAATGCCTTTATATGCATGGGTCTGTTTCAGGTCTGTTTTGTTCCCTTGATCAATTTGCCTAGCCCTGCACTGACACCACACTCTCTTAATTCTTATAGCTTTATGATATGTTTCTTGATATAAAAAAAACATTCTGGGTGGCTGGATGGTTACTTACATCAAGGACTCTAGATTAGAATCTAGCAATCAACTGGTCTGGCCATCCATTGAGAAACAAAGGCTCAGAGAGGGAGTGCATCTTTTGCAGTATCACACAGCATTTAACTAGGAAAAGCTCTCTCTCACCATGGAGGACATTCAATCTGGTAGACAGTAGCCACATGTGACTATTAAGCACTTGGAACATGACTAATCCAAATTTTGATGGGCTGTAAGTATAAAATACCCACCAGATGTTGAACACTTGTGGTGAAAAAAAGAAAGTAAAATATCTCATGAATAATTTGTTCATATTGATTATCTGTTAAAGTCCTAACACTTTGGATATAAAGAGTTAACTAAAATCTAGTCTTTTTGTTTTGTTTTTGAGACAGTATCTCACTCTATTGGCCAGGGTCAAGAATGTGGTGTCACCACAAGTCACTGCAACTTCAAATTCCTGGACTCAAGCAATTCTCCTGCCTCAGCCTCCCGAGAAGCTGGAACTATGGGTATATGCCACCACACCCAGCTAATTTACCTGTGTTTTGTAGAGACAGGGTCTCACTATGTTGCTCAGGCTGGTCTCGAACTCCTGACCTCAAGTGATCCTCCCAAAGTGCTAGAATTACAGGCATGAGCCACCACACCCCACCTTAAAAAATAGTTTAAAAATTAATTTCACCTGTTTAGTTTGACCTTCTTTAACAAGATGGAATATCTGGCACACATTAAACTGAATGGCTACTAGAAAATTTAAAATGACATCTATGGCTTGTCCATCTCTAATGGACAGCACTGGGTTATATCATTCAATTCATTCAATCAAGAAGCTTTTATAAAGGACTTAATTTGTGGACTGCACTATAGTAAGGGCTACATGACAAGGAAGGGAACAGAAAATAATTCTAATTGATGCAATCCATTTCCCCACTGGACCCATCACCCACGGAAGCTGCACCAGCCCAGGCATGGAAGACTGGCCTCCGCCCCAGCTGGAGATTTCCACTCCCATTACAGACGGGGCAACTTGGATGTCCAAATCTAGAGATCATTTAGACCAGGGGTCCTCAAACTTTTTAAACAGGGGACCAGTTCACTGTCCCTCAGACTGTTGGAGGGCCAGCCTATAGTTTTAAAAAAACTATGAACAAATTCCGATGCACACTGCACACATCTTATTTTGAAGTAAAAAAACAAACGGGCAAAAACACCTGTACGCCTGATTTAGACCAATTATCCTGTCTTTATAGATCAACCAGCTGATGTCAAGAAAGGTTGAAACACCTACCCAAGATCACACAGCAGGTGCAGGACAGACAAAAGCCCATTGCAGAAGCTTCAGACCTCTTTCCTTTCATGTCTGCATCTGCAGCCTTGAACCCAGGGCTGCTTCTTTCCCGGTGAACACTCCACCAACTTGTATCTCACCACGGCACTCCAAACCCTTGAGAGCAAGCCTTTGAACGTCCAAGTGCCCACGCGGGAGAAGCCCCTGGCAGATGTGTGCAGGCAGCCCCGCCCACGATCCCGCAGAGGGAAAATTAGCAGGAACTCACTCTCAAGTCCCTCCCGTGCATCCCCTCTGTGGGTGGGATTCCCCAACCTTACAAAGGACACACTCACAATGTCCCCCAGGGTGGGATGGGGGAACAGAGTGAGACTGAGAGTCAAGGGCTCAGTCCTGCCCCCAGCCTTCCCTGCCCTGGGCAGCACCCTAGCCCTGTGCCTCTTGGTCAAGCTGTGCTCAGCTTGCCCAGAACGTGCAGAGACTTGGTGAGCACCACGGACTCTCAACAACCTCCTGGAGATAATGCACCATGTTGATGCGAGTATGAAACATGATGCCACCTGTCTCAAATTCACCCCCGCCTGGGAGCCTCGGCACACACCTGGCTCCTCCCCTGTGAAGGCGCGAGGCCTGAGGCGGGGAGGGGGGAAGGTGAACCGGAAGGCAGGCTAGGTGCCCCCTCAAAGAGAGCCGGGGGCTGCCCCCACCAGAACGGCCTGTCCTGTCCTCGCCCGAAACCACTGGGCAACTTCAGGAGAGAGTTTTCACGCGAGTGTTCAAGCAAGCACACCCCTCGACAAAATTTTAGTGAAATGTAATCATTGTTCATCCCCACCCCATCCCTCGGCCCCTAATTGGAAATCCAAGCAACAGGAGCTTAACTTCTGCTCAGCAATCCCGTGGTAGGATGTGCCAGCACCATTTGATAAAGGAACCGAGGCTCGGAGGGGCTCATGCTGTGAAAACCACAGGATGTGCAGGTAGCCTCAGTTTCCCCACCTGAAAAGGGACTTACCCATTCCTCCAACTTGCTAAGAGGGTGGACAGTGGCGGTGCAATCGCCCTTTACTGTTAACAGCAGCGCCAGATAGACTTTGCGCGGTTCTGGGCTCCAGGAACCGTGCAAAGTGCTTTCCAAGGACAGAATCACCTAATCCCCCCGGGACCCTAGGGACAGGGACTCTCATTACGCCTGTCTTGTAAACGTGGAAGCTGAGGTCCAGAGAGGCAAAGCGACTAGCCCAAGGGCGCCCCGCTACGCGGGGAGGCGCTGGGACCCGCGCTGCCGGCGAGCCCGGGCGCGAACACGACTCAATTGCCGGGACAAGGCAGCCCCGGCGCCGGCTTCCCCGGGCCACGCTAGGGTCCACCTGTCACCCGCGGTCCCAGCAGCGGGGCCCGGGGCCATCCCGCCGTGCCCCCGCCCCGCGCTCACCTCGCGTATTTCGTCTTCTGGAAATCCAGCAGCCGGGGCGCGAACATCGCGGCGCTTCCATCAGCACCCAGCTCGGGGCTCCGACCCGGGAACTTGGGGAGCGGCGGGCGGGCGGCCGAGCAGCAGGTTGGAGGCCGCGGGCGGGGGCGCGGCGGGGCCGGAGCCCGAGAGGGAGCCACAGCCCAGGCGCCCGGGCCGCCGCTGCCAAATCCCCAGCAGATGGTGGCGGGGGCGGGACGGGGGGGCAGGGGGCGGGGCGAGGGACTGGGGACGCGGGAGGGGTGGGAGCAGAAGGGAGGGGCGAGGCGGGGGCGAGGCGGGGGCGGGAGCTCTGGGGACTGGGGGTTCCGGTCGTGCGCGGCCCCTCTCCCGTCCCCTGGCGGCGGCCTCCGACCCCTGCCCTAGCTGGGGTGGGGGCTGCGGGAAGTGGAGGGGACCTCCGAAGCCGGCGCCTGCCCTCCCCTCCGCCCGTGGGCCTCCGGCGAGCAGAAGGCTTCCTGGACCGGACAGAGCCGCTGGCGTCCCGCGGGCCCGGGTGGGGCTGGCAGGGATAGGGGCCCCCTGCGTGGCCCGCCCCAGAGCGCGTGCACCCCGCGATGGCCCGGCCTCCCCGCGGCCCGCGCCGCCTTTGTGTTCCTGCGAGGTGCGACGGCCCCAGGGACCCTCAGACCCCGAGATGGGGACGTTCGGCTCTGGTTGCGGGGTGCCAGAGTACCCAGAATCTGCCCCCACCCCACCCCTGACCTTCTACAAAACCCAGCTTTCTCATTTAGGAGACCTTGGCTGAGCCCCTTGCGGGAGCCTGGACACCCCGAGGGGCTGAGGGAGGCCAGACAGCCTTCCATGTAGGGGAAATGTCGACGCCACCTCGGGGACCCCAGGACTGTCCCCAAATTGAAGGGAAGGACCCTCGTTCCCACACACTTCACACCTCTGCCCCTCCCTCCCTCGGTTACCAAGCCCCAGCTCCCGTTACTTTTTATAACAAGGCTTTATTTGAGATCCTACTACTCGGTCAGAGGATAATCCCACGCAAGCCCTCTGCCCCAATGCAGCCAGAACAAGAAGGAAAAAAACAAAATGACTCCATCTAATTCATTTCTGTGTTCCAAATGCAGGGCACAGGTGGGCACACACCTGTATTTGGTGAGAACCACAAAGGTTACAGGTAGACGCATTCAGAGGCCATTGCAGGGTTGGGGGTTGGAGGTGCAGGACGAGGGGGCCAGGGGTGCTTAGGAGGCAAAACCCACTAGACTCTAAAGGTGGATTAGACTGGGGGTCAGGAGGACAGAGGAGTCGGGGTGGGGGGACCCCCAGGTTTTCAGCTGGCCCCCTGGGTAAATACAGATGCCACCGGGAGTACTGGGAGGACCAAGCTAGAAGGATTTAGAGCCATGGGTTTCAACTTGCTCATCTCGACCTGCTAGAGCTGCGACTTCCAGCCGCCAGCCTCACGTGACTGTGTACACGTTCAGTAAGATGAGGTGAAATTAAAAATGCAGTTCCTCATCACACTAGCCACATGCGGCTGGTGGCTACTGAATGGGACCATTTCCAACCTCAGAGTTCCACAGCAGCGCTCTGCGCTGTGAGATCACGGTGTCAGTGCTGAGCAGAGCAACCCTTAAAATCAAATGAGACGGAAGAAACAACCGAGGGAGTGTTTGTGCATAGTGAGGATAAGTCATGTTGGTAAAACTTTGGTTTCAATTGCCTGTATATACATTTGGGTGTCCTGGCTGGGCTGGGACATGTGCTTCTTACCACAGTCACAAAACAAGTGAGGCTCGGTCAGCGCCTCTCATCCGCTCCCATCACCTTGCATTTCACAGTTTCTTCCCTGACCTTGACCTCTGTGGCTGTTGCTCTGACCCCACAGGCCCAGGTCTCACTGTCAGCTGCAGTAGGACATACCTGGCCCCAGGTGCCAGCAACACCTTCCCAGAACAGCCCTTGCAAGGTGCAAGGCTGCCCCAGGGCTGGAGCGCTTTCTCCCCAGGGAGTCCAGGCCCAGCTGGGGCAGCCACTGGTGACCGCAGCTCCCGGGAGGCTGGGGCTGCACCTCCCAGGGCCGCTGGCCTGCTCCTGCTCCTGCCTGCCTCCAATCTTCAAACAGTGGGATCTTCAGGGCCCCAAAAGAGACCCCTGAATTGAAACACAAGCCTAGAAATGGATTTTCTTCTTCTCCAAGAGCAAAAGAAGTTGAATAAAAAATAAGTTACTATTTTTACTGCCAGGATCCGGTTGTTATAGCAACCAAGGACCTGACTCCTGCTCAGAGTCTCCCGGGTTGGGCTGTGCCTGGGGGAGGAGGCGGGGTGGAGATGTGGGGTGGGCGGCAGGATTGCCCCCAACAGGAAGTCCATCTCCACTTACCTGCCTGCCTGCTGCCCTCCCCACAATGCGGGCTCCCTGGAGGCACCCTCCCCACCCCCCACCAGCTCTGTGATCTCAGGCTTGGACCAGCCTTGTCACCAAAGCCTCTGTCCTTCACACCCTGGAGGGAGGGACCATGCCTCAAGTTCCAGGAGGAACTTGCGGCCCTGCCTCAGGGACAACTTATACTAAGTAGATCAGCCCCTCGACCTCACCTGGCCAAAACCCACCCCCTCTCCCTGTTCCCCGCCAAGGTGGCACCAGCACCCACCCAGCTAGGCCAGGCTGCACCGTGGTTGACAGTTCTCAGGTATCCTCACCTGGATTCAAGGCATGGCTCCAGTACCACCTAGCTTTGTACCGTAGGCCACAAGCTACAGAGCCTCAGTTTCCCCATTTGTAAAATACAGGTGACGACAGCCACCCTGCAGGACTGCCGGAGGATCCCAGGAGGCCCAGGCGTGGTGCAGGTGCTGAAAGCTATGGCTTCCCCTGTGACCTTCTCCATAGCTCTACACGGCAGGTAGGTGTTGCCGCTCCCATTTCACAGGAAACTGGGCTCTGCCGGGTTAAGTCACACAGCAGACTGGACAGCCGACCTGGAGTCCAAACCCAGGTCTTTCTAACCCCAAAGCCGCCACATGTGCTGTGTCCCAGCTCAGGGGAGGACAGCGCAGGAAGCAGGTGGCCAGGTATCCCTGGACTTCCCTGAGCCCCTTCTCCCATGAGGCCAGCTTTTGCCACCTGTCCCTGGAACCCCATGGCACCCTCTCACTCGGTTCTCCTTCTCCCTCTTGGTGACTTTAATCCTCAATCAGTAGGGACTGATTGGGCACCTGCTAAGCGCCTAACAGTGTCCGGAAGCTAGAAACGACACAGATGGAGGCACAGTCCCTGTCTACCTGGAGCTTAGAATCTAGAATGAACAAAGGAACATGAGACAATTGCAAATGTGTCCATTCACTCCGTCCATGAATTGGAGTCACTGGCACATCCTGGATTTTTACACACAGTATCTCTGCGCATCCTTTTGGGAACCAGACAGTGATCCCCATTGGATTGATGAGCAAACTGAGGCTCAGAGAGCTGCTGGGGACAGCTAGGAAGTGGGCAGCCGGGTCTCAGACCCTCTGCTCTTTTCCAGAACTTCTCCACCCGTGTCCCTGCCTGCCTGCCATGTGTGAGGCCTCGGGCTGGGCACTGTCCCTTCTCCTTGGGGCTCGCAGGTGAATGGGGCCATGACCCAGGGGCAAGCAAGGTCTTGGGGGAGGAGGTCAAAGGTAAACAGAGCCGGCCGTGAGTCAGATTGGTTAGGACAGGTTTTATTCAGGAATAGCTAATGCATCAGGGAAAGAGTCCAGTGTGAACTAAACTCAGCTTCTATGTGTTCAGAGGTGACTGGGCGTTTTAGAGGGAGATGCAGGGAGTGGGGAGAGGGGTTGGGGAGGGGGTGGGTGGGGGCTCAGGAGGGCCAAGAAAGTGAAGAGCCACAACAAGTGGTTGTTGGTCCGTGTGAATCCCTTCTGGGTTTGCTGACGGTGGGCGCCTATGGAAGTGAGGCTTGCCCTCCCACAGAGGCTGGGACGGGGCCCTGTCCTCCCGTGGGCTGGAACAGACTGTAAGTTCTCCCAGCAGCCTTGATCTTTCTCAGGCGGGTGCTTTAAGGGGGCTGGGGTCATCCCAGGGATGCAACCTTGAGCCGTGAGACACTGTGTCGTGAGACACTGTGTCAGTGTTTGTTCGAGACTTCACAGGCCAAGGCTGAGGCACAGGCAGGAAAGGGCCGAGGGCAGCCTGGCTCAAGTTTGGTCAAGGAGAGTCTTTGTCAGGGGTGGCCCCCAGGAAGGGGGAGCAGCTTTGCAGGAGAATAGGGGGTAGGCACTGTTGGGGACGCCTTCTCAGCTGAGTCCTGTAAAATGGCAGGAAGACAGGTAGGAGGACAAGAGGCAGCAGGTGGGGCAGAGGCAGCAGGTGGCAGAGGCAACAGGTGGGGCAGAAGCAACAGGTGGGAAGTGCATGCCAGGCAAAGGGAACAGCCTCAACGACACCTCCAAAGGCTAGGTGGCATGGAGCAGCGTAGTGTGACTGGAGTCCTGCTGGTTCCTGAAACCTGAGTGAGCCATCTGGCCTCTACCCTCTAGGCACTGGGAAAGCCAGGAAGGGAGGGAGCCACACACTCAATGCTACAGGGGGTTGGCATCCCCAGAATGGCAGGAGCAGGCGGCTCCGTGCTGAGCTGAGTGACCAGGGAGCAGAGATTCCAGGAGGCAGGGTCTGCAGGTCTTCAAGAGGAAAGGGGAGGGAGCCGTCACTGGGGCCAGTGCCCAGGTTGCGAGCTGAGGCTCAGCTTCTTAACCATAATACCGTGTTTCATCCAACCCAAGACACCATCAACTGTAAGATGTACTTTTCTCTTATGTACCACTAGGAAAGCTAAATTGCTGGCAATTAATCTTACCAACATTTTA